CCCCTGCATTTGACGAGAAAAAATGACGTTTCTCAAGTTTACTGGCAAAATCCAAGACCAGCTTCTACCAGATTTTGCAGGCCCTTAAAATTCGAATTTATCAAAGAGACACCTGACATCATTAGAAAAGAAGTTCGAAGAGTGGAACAAGAAATTTTACATTTAAACGAAACAAAACTGGACATTAACAATAAAACCTTACGAATTAATCACAAATTGGTCTTCACAAATTGGTCTTCACAATGATCGACGGAAAAGTCGCACAGGCAATAACCGAAACATCATCAATGTCAGTTTGTTGTATATGTAAGGCGAAACCATCTGAAATGAATAATCTTCAACTTTTACTTACCAAACCTGAGTCAGATGAAGCAATTCAACTTGGTATGTCACCGTTACATGCTCGTATCAAATTTATGGAGTGTATTTTGCACATTGCCTATAACAGATCCTTCGAAGCATGGCGGACGTGTAAGGACACGAAAAAACAAAAAGAAGATGCGAAAACGGAAATCCAGAAGAAATTTAAGAGAATGTTGGGGCTAAATATTGATATGGTGAAGCAAGGTGTAGGCACTACAAATGATGGGAACACATCAGGGAGATTTTTTAAGAATCCTGACATCACAGCTGAAATTACTGGGGTAAACGAAAATGTAATTCATCGTTTTGGAGTAATCTTGGATGCAATTAACAGTGGTGCAGCCATTGACCCAGCAAAATTTGGACATTACTGCCATGAAACCGCATATTTATTTGTTGACCTATATAAATGGTACAATATGCCTAATTCTGTACACAGAATTCTTTGGCACGGAAATAAAATAATTTCAGCTGCGATTTTGCCTATCGGGATGTTGACAGAAGAAGCCCAGGAAGCACGCAATAAAGATTATCGGCAATATATTGGGTGCTTGCATGTATTCTGATCATTTTTTCACTTTGAAAAGGCATTTATTGTGAAAAATTGGTACAATGTATTTTAATCAAAATATTTTCCATCATTTTCTACAATTTTTTTCCATCTTTCTGGCAACATGGCGATACCGTGTCGAAAGAACGATGTTGGTTTGGTAGCGATCCAATCATCGATCCATTTTCGCACTTCTTCGGCATTCCGAAATCGTGTACCAGCCAAGCCATGCTGCATCGATCTGAATAAGTGGTAATCAGAAGGTGCTATGTCTGACGAGTACGCTGGGTGCGGCAGAACTTCCCATTCGAGCTGTAACAGTGTATCATTCACAACTCTTTCAACGTGTGGCCGGGCGTTGTCATGCAAGAGGATGACTTTGCGTCTGTTACTCGCTATTGCTGGTCTTTTTTGCAACAATACGTCGTTCAATTTGGTCAATTGCCGTCGGTAGACATCTGCAGTAACAGTTTCATTTGGCTTTAGCAGTTCGTAATACACTACACCTTGTTGATCCCACCATATGCACAGCAAGACTTTATGGCCATGAATATTCCGCTTTGGTGTCGATGTGGATGACTCTCCTGGACTAACCCATGACTTTTTGCGCTTGGGATTGTCGTAGTAGATCCACTTTTCATCCCCAGTCACAATACGCCACAGAAAACTTTTCTTGTTTTGCCTGGCAAGCAATGAAACCGCGATGTTGAAACGGTTCGAAATGGCATTTTCAGTCAATTCGTGTGGTAACCATTTTCCCTCTTTTTGGATCTTTCCCATTACATGTAATCGCCTGGAAACAGTTGATTCATCAACTGCTAAGCTCTCTGAAAGTTCTTTCAGAGTTTGAGCTGGGTTTTCGTCCAATAAGACTTGCAATTCATTGTCTTCGAACTTTTTTGGCCCTCCAGGCCTTTCTTTGTCATTGACATTAAAATCACCACGTTTAAATCGCTGAAACCAAAACCGACAATTGGGATATGACGGAGCAGCATCACCATAAGTTTTGAAAAGTGTTTGATGGGCCTCGGCAGCAGATTTCTTCAAATCAAACAACAAAAGTAAGGAATGTCGAAAATGCAATTTTGAGCGTTCCATGATAAGCGTCTGCATACACTGAATAACTCAATATAACTAAATGGAAAACTGTTATTTTAGTAGAGAAATGTCGAAACCATCGACTTTAACAGTTAAGTTAAGTTATTTGCATTAATACTTTGCATTTTCACCAACAGATGTCGCTGATCAAAATACATGCAAGCACCTAATAGATTAAGGCATTCTAGAAAGAACAGCAGAATTTATACGAACGACGATGTCAACCACATGCTTCTAATTAGTTCTGATCCCTACATAAATGCATTTCGTACTGAACCTAAGACAAAACTGTTTATTGATTTTAACGATGATGTTAAAAAACTTCGTATTCCAAAATAATTATCAGCATACATTTATATATCTATATATAATTATTAATATACACTGGTGGACAAAATGATAAGGCACCGTTGTACACATAAGAAATTCCAGATGTATTTCGTAAAATCTTAAAGTTATTAGCAGTAAACTATGTTATAAGTGAGAAACTTCCTTTCAAGGCCACGTACTAGTCTAGACAAACAAAACACGGTGCATTGTGGTCTTTGAGTTTCATTGTTTCGAAATTTCAGGTGGACAAAATGTTAAGGCACTTGAAGTAGTCTGTTAGAAAACGTTGAAGTGTGCAGTTCTCTGCAAGTTTATCTTGTAGAAATTATTTATTAATAGTTAGTTTATAAGTGTTTAAATACTTTTTAACCCAAAATTAAATTATGGGACGAGGAACAGCATTAAACGAAGATGAGAAGATTAAAATACTCCAGTTAAAGTCTAATGGAGAAAATCAAGTACAGATTGCAAAAAAACTAAAAAGAAGTCGGTGTGTTATACAGAATTTTTTACAAAACCCCGAAAAATATGGGAAACAGAAGTCAAAGGGAAGACCTGCAGCCCTTTCTTCAAGAGAAAAAAGATTAATTTTGAAAAAAGCATCGAATTCTGGACTTACGCCTCGACAAATTGCAGTGGATTCGTGGAGTTAACGTATCGACTAAAACAGTGAAAAGAGTAATTCAAAAAAACAAGCTATTTAAAACGGAAGAAATTTACTATAAAGCCGCCGTTAACAGACAAACATAAGACCGCCCGATTAAGTTTTGCAATAGAGCACATTCAATGGAAAAACCAGTGGAAACGAATTATATTCACGGATGAAAAAAAACTGAATTTGGATGGCCCAGATGGATATAAATACTATTTCCACGATTTAAGAAAGGAGCAAAGGGTATTAAGTCGCAGACAATGTGGTGGTGGTGGAGTAATGATATGGGCAGGTATCGGCTATAGAGGAAAAACGGAAATAGAATTCATTCAAGGCCGTATGAATAGTGCTGGTTACTTAAATTTAATTAAGAGACACATAGACACTTACGCTCGCAGAATTGCTGGGACAAAATATATATTTCAGCAAGATAATGCAGCTGTGCATACCGCTCGCATAGTAAAAAATTATTTTGAAACGGAAAATGTAAATGTTTTAAATTGGCCCGCAAGATCTCCTGACCTAAGTATTATCGAGAATGTTTGGGGAAAACTCAGCCGAACATTATATGAAGGTGGAAAACAGTATAATACAGTGTCCGAATTAAAATCTGCAATTTTAGAAGCTTGGAAAAGCTTGGATCAAAATTATATAAAGGATCTGTACAGAAGTTTACCAAGAAGAATGATTGAAGTGGTACATCGTCAAGGACAGTCGACACATTATTAAAACTTAAAAAAACTATGTAATCTTATTTCATTTTAATACTTTTGTAATTTTATATTGAAAGTGCCTTATAATTTTGTCCACACTCAATTTCATTTTCTTGGTATAAATAATAAATGGATTTAACGATTTATTTAATTTTTTCATATATTATGTCAAAACTAGTACCTTATTTTGTTGTGTATTCATATTCCACGTATATGTACAAATAGATGTTCATTTCCAAAAATTTTGAGGTGCCTTATCATTTTGTCCACCAGTGTATATGTGTAAATAAAAATTTGATTACAAAACATTAGTTGTAAATATGAATAAAACTTCTTTACGTATTAATATTACACTTCAATTTATTTTATCTACGTAATATCTAACAAAATTATAATATAAGAACTACAGTTGTATTATATTTGAACGTTATATCTCGAAGCGCTTAAAAGTTATGGAGTTTATTCGCATTTTTCGTTGACCGGAACGACTGTGCGTCGGGTTGAGGTGCTGGGTACATTTATCGAATAGGAGGTAGCTATTTTCAAACGGAACGCTTCAGTTGTCCCGTAAGTGATCAGAAACTGCAACACTTATAAGATAGGAGGCTTCGTTAGCTACCATTGTTCGATAAATGTACTATCCACTGACCTTGCGAAGATACCAGTACGTACATGTTTTGGAGGTATTATTAAATACCTTTCCCTAACTCCACTGAGACATTTCACTCGAAATTGAACACGTTTTGGTACACAATTTCAGATTTTGTGCAAACTGAAACATTTTCAGAAATGTAATGTGTAACGGATATTTAAACTGGGGCGATAAATCTGGTTCTCAGTTCATCTTTCTTCTATAGCTACTGACCCTTTCTATGTTCGAGGCGTCGGCAAACTACAATCAAATTCGAAAAACGATTCTTCTATTCCATAAATGTTCCTGACCGGACCCGGAGTAGTGACATTTATCGAGTTTTCACTTTACATTGAAGAATTTACACATAAAACCGATCAACTTGAGGAATCTGGAATAATATTGCCAGAAAACGTGCTACCGATGATTCTGCTCAACTCCCTACCCAGTGAGTATGAAACGTTCTGCGTAGCCATAGAATCTCGGGAAAGTTTGCCAAACATGGAGGAATTAAAAGTAAAATTAATTGAAGAACAAATTAGAAGAGAAGAAAGTGACCATGCTTATACTCATGAGAAAGCGGATGCTCTGGTTCATGTATAAGAAGACACCTTACAATAAGAGAGTAACGAAAGAAAATTTTAACAAACAAAAGGCTGACAATAAATGCTCTTTTTGTGGTAGGAAAGGGCATATTTCTAAATTTTGCAGGAACAGGTCACGGGCCCCCTTCAGAGGAAGCAGAACAGAGGATGCAATGACAGCGGTTGCGCAATAATGCTTGGTGCTTGGACAGCGGGGCAACCATGCATATGTGCAATGCAATAGTAGAGTTTGAGTCCACTAACAAAGAATTAAAAAGCAGAATCTGCACTGCGACAGATAGCAGTGTCGAATGACTGGGTAAGGGAAACATTAAAATGAAAGTGCGCTCTGGAGGCTTAATGGAGAATGATGTAAACTTAACACTATACCTACCAGGACCGGTCAAATGACCGTTTTTAAATTTTCAATTGGAATTTCCTACATTCAACGTAAGTGAATCGCCTTTAAACTTTACGACTTTTCCTCATATATATGTATGATACATTTTTCAATATTCACTTATTTTTTTATTGTTTATTTTCTGAGAAAAATTTGTAGTCTGTCTTACCTACCACGACCGGTCATTTGACCGGTAGTACGATTTATACATTTTTGTAATAGTTTCTCTCTAAGACTCAATGCCAAAACTATAAAGTCGTTACAAACGAAAGGTAATGTAGTTGTGGCACGATTTTATCCGAGAAGTGCCTTCCAGAAAATGGTTTACGGCACTTCCAAGTGTTTACAGTTCTCGCTCGACTATCGGGTTAGCGGTGTTTATTTGCTTGATTGATATCCGAAACGGTCCAGATCCTCGAATGTTCTTACGCCATCTTATCTACTATGACGTAAAATAAATAAACTTGTAACTGAAGGAAATGTATAGACGTCTTCTCACGAATTCAAATCAGTATAGTCTTGCGACACGAACAGAGTGCATCGAAACGTGAAAGTCACAAAGAGCATACTTGGCAGTCTTTTATCATTATTTTGTAATATTTTATATCGTATTACGTGTTATAAGTGCAATTTTCAAAATAGTGAACAAGTCTAACAATACGTCGCAGTAAGTTTCACATTTTATCTTTTATTCATTTTTTTATCTATTTTGATTTACATTTTCATATTTTAGTTTTTATTTTCTCCGTTGAATATTTACCCCAAAATGTCAAGACGTTTGAGGAGTGCGAATGTATTATTAGAGAGAATAAATGATATCGATGCAGAATGTTCTGAAGATGATCAGGAAATTCTGGATATGGAAAATGACAATACGGAAAATTATGATCCACTTGAAACCGACTCGAACACCGATGAGAACGAAGAGAATATTTCGAACGTACGTAGACGACGAAAGAGAAGGAGATTTTTAGTTAGTTTCGATAGTGAGAATGAGGAAGAGGCAAGCGAAATTGCGATGGACGGAACTGTTTGGCAGGAAGTAAAAATAGGGTCTAATCCTGGAAGAGCGCCTGGTCATAATATTTTTAGGGAAACATCAGGCCCGACTGGGTACAGTAAACGCACTATTATGAAAGGCGAAGTTAGGACGGCATTTTCTGTGATAATTGATAAGAATATAATCGAACTTATAAGAAAGTGCAGAGAGGCAGAGGCATTTAGAGTGTTGGGATATAAATGGGAACTGTCTACTGCAAAGTTATATGCATTTTTTGCAATTCTGTATGCACGCGGCGCATATGAGGCTAAGAATATAGATATAGCACTTCTATGGAATAAAAAGTGGGGCCCGCCTTTTTTCTTAAATACTATGAGTAGACATGACTTATATTGAGTTATACTGGGTCCGCCATCTAACGTTTTTTTTTCAAGTACAGTATTGTCTCTATAGAAGCGACGCTCTCGGGGCTCAACGCTCGGCTATATCGTGGACGAGAAACGATTCTTGATACTTTGTTGACGCCTACTGGAGGCGGCGAGTATAGAAAAGAACAGCGAGCATATGACAAAGAGGGACTGAGCGGCCGAGCATCGCCGAATTTGCTATCGCTTCCTTCGCTTCGGGTCGGCTGTAACGAAACACAGGCGATGTTTATGCGAGCCTATACGAAATCGGTGTTCTAATTCTGACCTCTACCTCTCTTGGTAGAGGTCGCAGAATGAAATACTGATTCTGTATAGGCTCGCGTAAACATCGCCTGTGTTTCGATACAGCCGACGTGGAGCCACTTGAGCGATGCATGCCTTTGATTTCTTATTGCGTTAGTAAATAGGACCTAAATTGTATATCGTATTTGGTGTCATTTTAATTAGAAAAGTGTCACGAATATGTTGATGAAGTTCGAAAAAAGGAAGAACAAAAATAAAGATAAATTTCGTTGTTGATTTAATATTGTATATGTACTAGTTAAATCGTGTCATAACTAAAGTACATATATGTATGTATCGCTCATTTACTGCAATAGTGATATTACTCAAAAAGATACAAACTTGCGAATTTGAACTGTTTAACCAACTTATTTTACTCTGAGTTCTCTCACGATTTCAGCAAATAAATGATAGGTCAATTAAATTACAATTCCTTTTTTCAGACGAGGATACACTTTAAAGAAAGGACAAATGTATATTATAATTTATGAAAAACAATAATAAAAATTATATTGTACTTGATCTTAGTTAAATCAGAAAACTGTCACAGACATGTTAAAAGTTTTAAAACAAGAAAAGGAAAAATAAAAAATTTGACAATGCTCGACGACCGACCGTCAAACGGGCCGCTATCCTGGGGAACCGCCCATAGGAAGGCACACTCGCCGGTTCAGCGAGTGCTGGGTTCTAACGGTACGCAGTGGGGATAAGTAGAGGGGATACGATATTTGTCTATATCGTGGACGAGTTCTGAGCTTATATAGAGAAAATACTGTAGTGCTTATTTCGTGAATGGTAACACTTAGCTCATGTCTGATTTGACAGATAATTAGTTTTATCCTTCCGCTGAACGAATATGGTTGTGTATACGCTTGAACAACGCTGGGAAATATTGCGACATTACTTTGAAAATCATGGTAATGTTGCAGAATGTGTGCGAAAATTGCGTACGGATTTTGGAAGAAGAGAAGCACCGTCAGCTCCGTATGTTCGTTATCTTGTGAAAAAAGTGAAAGAAACTGGCATCCTCATCGATAAACCAAAGCGTGAAAAGCCAAAAACAGTGCGTACAACCGAGAATATTGCTGCTGCGGCAGAAAGTGTGCGTGAAGCGCCATCAACATCAATTCACCGTCGTTCTCAACAATTGAACATTTCGGAGACATCATTGAGACGAATTTTGCATAAAGACCTTGGTATGACGCCATACAAAGTCCAATTGGTTCAGGAGTTGAAGCCAACTGACCATCCAATGCGTTTTCGCTTCGCTAAGTGGGCCTGCGATCGGCTTACAGAAGATGCCGATTTTGCCAAAAAAATCATCTTTTCAGATGAAGCTCATTTCGATCTTGGCGGGTATGTAAACAAGCAAAATTGTCGCATTTGGGGCACAGAAAACCCGCACGCATACATTGAAAAGCCGGTGCACTCAAAACGAGCCACTGTTTGGTGCGGATTTTGATCCAGAGGCATAATTGGGCCATTTTTCTTCGAAAATGGGCAAGGAGTGGCCGTTACAGTCAATGGCGATCGTTATCGGGCCATGTTGAACGAAATTTTTTTCACAAAAATTGAAGAGGAGGATATTGGGCAACATTTGGTTTCAACAGGACGGCGCTACGTGCCACACAGCCGAAGCTACACTCGATGTTTTGCGCCCTGTTTTTGAAGATCGCATTATCAGCCGCAGAGCTGATGTCGTTTGGCCACCTCGGAGCTGCGATTTGACACCGTTGGACTATTATTTGTGGGGTGCCGTCAAAGATAAGTGTTACGCCGACAAGCCAGAGACAATTGACGCTTTAAAGGACAATATTCGTGAAGCCATTGGTGAAATACAGCTGCACACAATCGATAATGTGCTTAAAAATTGGACCGATCGTGTAGGCTACTGCATGGCCAGCCGAGGCAGCCATTTGAATGAAATTATTTTCCATTATTAACCGGAAGGATTGTACTTTCAAATAAAAAAAGAAATTTGAGAAAATATTCAGTAGTTTTTTTTATAGCATTTTCAAAAAAAAAGTTATTTGGCGGACCCGGTATATTCAATGATAATGCGGTGTCACATTTTTATCAAATTTTGAAGGGTCGGCAAAAACAAATGTCTCTAGACAGCTTTCTAGTAAAAATAAATTAGGTATGTTACTAAGAAAAGATGACGATGAATCACGCTTATTAACCATTTATATGTATTTTTCTTTGAATAAATATTATACATAACGTTTTTTTGAGTACTTTTTTGAAAATTTCAAATTTGGAGTATTTTTTTTCGGCATAGAACGCATTATCGTATTTTACATCAATTTATATGGTAAAAATTGTTTCGCTTAACGAGTGTTTCGCGTTACGAGTAAGACTCCGGAACGAATTATGCTCGTTATGCGAGGTTCCACTATATATGAGGATCTTTCTTCGGAAGAACTGCTTCATCGGTGCTTGGGCGGATGCACGCAAAACAATAATGAAAGCTACAACTCTACGCTTTGGCAGTTTGTTCCAAAGCATATATACACGGGTGCTAAAGTGATTCAAATAGCAGCTTTTCTTGCCGTATGTACCTTCAATGATGGGTATTATCCATTATTGAAAATATTGGAACTGTTGGGAGTGAAAATTGGACCGCAGGCAAAGATGTTCGCCGACGCTTCGGACAATCGCCGTATAAATGCAGCAGAGCGTCGTTCCCTTGCTGCCACAAGGGAGGGTAGATTGGAGGAAAAACGACAGAAATTGAAAAATAATGAATTATTTGAAGAAGCAGAAGGACTATTATATGGACCCGGCATAGCAGATTGACCGTAAGATGCCACACTATCCACGTATACATATAAAAACTGGATGTAAAACTTTAAAGCTGTTTTTCTCGAAACTACATTTTTCGGCACTGCGTGCGTGATAACTAAAAAACTATTCAAGATATCAACATCAAATTTATACAGTATCTTCAGAACTGGTCATCCTATAGCATGAACTAGGATAATTGCGATATATGCAATACTTTTTCTTTTATTAACAAAAAAGTGTTGGATTTCCTAACCGTCTTGTTATGTTACAAAAATCATCTCCAGTAACGGATGTATATACTGGAGTTTCCGGTAGTTTTGGCCATGGGTTCTTAGAACTCATGGGTGTTTATTACAGAAAGATAAGAGTTCGTCGCTAGGGCGAACTGCGCTTCACTCTCGCCTTTCTTCTGCGGGTGAAGTCACAGTCTTCCAACAGATCTCTTAGAGAACAGAACTGAACTCTTAGATATACAGTATTGTCTCTCTATAGCCGCGCGTTTTCGGATTCTCTATAGACGCGAAGCTATCCCCACTACTTCGTTTGTAATCACCGCGACGCGACATCGGGTATCGGATATCAAAGAGAAAGCCGAAGAAAAGTCGACGAGCCCCATCCCCCTTGAACGCTCGAGCGTGAAATCAAAGAAAGCCGAATAGACTACTCGTCTCTCAAGTTGCGTGCGCCCGGTCCCGACACGCGCGGCTATAGAGAGACAATACTGTACCTTCTACATATCATTTAAGGGGTTACGCCACCCTGAGGCGGCCGAAATAACATCAAAGTTTACGAATTTTTTTCTACGAAACTATGAATGTGACAATTACTTCATTATTATTTATGGTTAGGGCATACATTAAAGGACATATTGTGTAAATTTGACAAAAAAATATTAAAAAATGGCCGAGCTATCCGTTATCCGGCAAAACTCCTCCGTCAGGACGCGCGCAGACGGTGTAACGGATTGTGATGCCCAGGATTATCTGAAACTAAAAAACCCATAGTTTTATTGTTCATTGATAAAATATCTATCGTGTAGCATAGGGATTGAGAGAAAAAAGCATTTTTGTACAAATGCGAGCAAAGTGAAAATGAACATTAAATTTTTACCAAAAAGGCAAAATTCAAACAATTACTATAAACAATTGGGATATGGTATCAAAAAAATCCTATGCTACATGATAGATAATGTTGTTAGAATTATGTGTATCAAATTTGAAGTAAATCGGACGTACAGTTTCGGAGATTTTTGATACACCAGTTGTAAAAATGTAGTTTTGAGAAAAACGGAAAAGAAGGAAAAGTGTGACTTTAACAGATGTTAGAGAAAAAGATTTTAGTGTTACCTTCAATCGGCAATGCCTGGGCCATACAGTGTCTCTTCGGCAGCAAAAGTAATGTCTTCAGATTCTTTTTGAGCTGCTCGTTTTAGTTTCCTAGCCTCTTTTGTTGCTTGCTGCGCTCTTAGATTCGCAATTGTGATGCGATCCGTGTCCCACTTTTGACAGGCTTGTTGCGCGCTCGGTCCAATTGTTAAATTCATAATTTGCATGATAAGTAATATATTGTTATATCCATCGTTGAATATATTTATTGCAATGTTTGTTGCGATTTCGACAATTTTCGCACCGCTGGAAGTGACTTTCGGTGCCATAGACCAAATGAGAGCGTTCACGCTTTCATTGTTATTTTGCGTGAAACCTCCCAAACAACGTTCTAATAATTCATTGTTACTCAATCTTTCGTACACTGGTCGAATAGCTTTTTGAACATCTTTTGAAATTGGGTCCAAGTGTTTGTAATTGTCCAGAGATTCGTGAGCCTGCGCTTTCTGCCATGAGCACCAGGAATCTTTCCCAGTAGGGCACTTCTCATGTTGGGGATTCTTATCAGTGGAAATTTTATGATAGAAGGTGGCCCAAATTGCATTCTTCATTTCTTCTATTGAATTTGAATTCCTTCTGATGGCTAGGCCATAATAAACGGTTAATTCGTC